CACACACACACACACACACACACACACACACACAACACGCACACACACACACACACACACACAAACACACACAAACACACACGCGCGTGGTGTAGTGTGTATTTCATGTTCTAGCGGAAGATTCGTTCGATTTTGCTCATCCTATCGATGGAAGTAGCGTGAGGCCAGCCGCGGGGTTTGAGACTTACCTGCTCGTCGGTGCGTTGCTCAACCAATCGATGGAAAATTCTCTCTCTCTCTCTCTCTCTCTCTCTCTCTCTCTCTCTCTCTCTCTCTCTCTCTCTCACACACACACACACACACACAAGTGTAGTGACCGTCCAGCCGTGAATGGATCGCCGATGTGGCAGGACACGGACAAGAACATCACCGACCAGCGTCGTCGATCGCATGGCCATGGTTGGAGAACAAAGGAAGAGGACGCACGAGAAGGAAGGAGCATCACAATGATTAAGGCAGGGTCGCGACACACACACGCACACGCAACGCATGCTGGCAGCGCAGCACGAACCGAAATAATGAAGGGGCCAAGTATCTGAGGGCCACGATGTATCCTGGAAGAGAGAGGATGAAGGGAGAAGGAGAAGAAACAAGGAGGAAAGAGGAGAAAGAGGAAGGAGGATGAAGGAGGAGCATCACAACGGTGGAGGCGGGGTTGACGAGGATGGATCCAGGAGGAGAGAGCTGTGTTGCCACTTGTACGTACCCTCGTATGAGTACGGATTCGTACTCCTGTACTCGTACGCTACTCGTACGTTAGGGGGCCCATACGACTTTTTTTTTTTTAATCCGGTATTGTTTTTATTTTTTTTCTCAAATTTTAATCAGAATCTGCGGATGATGCTCAGCCAAATGTTGCTTGTTTTGTGCTTTTTTGCACCACATATTTGTTTTTCGGATTTGTTTGACGACTTTTTTTTCTGTTTTTTTTTTTTTTTTTGTACGGGAGCGTACAAGACGTACAGGTTCCCATACCGATACTACCTGTACGTTTCGTATGGAAAGGCCCCATACGTGTACGTTATGCTACGTAGGGAGAGAGGATGCATATAGAACAACGAGAAAAAAGGGAGGAGGAGGATGAGGAAGGCGGAGGACGAGGGAGAGATTACAATCACTATTGCAATATGCGTCGTTTTATTGAGCTGTTTTTTTTTTTTTGGCTTGCTTTTTCAACACCACATCGAATCTTTCTCTCTCTCTCTCTCTGTCTCTCTCGCGCCGAGCTTTTTCAACACCACATCCAATCTCTCTCTCTCTCTCTCTCTCTCTCTCTCTCTCTCTCTCTCTCTCTCTCTCTCTCTCTCTCTCTCTCTCTCTCTCTCTCTCTC